TTTTTATATAAATCATAATAATTATGTATTTTGTTAGAACTCAATGATTATCCTAATTATATTTTAGATTTTTTATATTTAAAATAAGATGTTTATCCTGTATTTGATTATGTTTATCTACAATTAATTACACCAATTCAAACAGAGTTTTAATAAGTTGTACTTACGTACAATTTACTTGTAATATTGAATTTTAAGTAACATGCATCAATAAACAGTACTTCGTGCATAAAAAATGGTTTCTAAGAATTTTTTTATCAAATGCTTTATAATAATATAACAAAAACCAACCATTTAAAAAAGTTCAATTGAGTTATTTATTTGTTTAAAAATAAATATACAGATTTTTTTCTTTTATTTTGTTTAATTTTTCTTCATTTTAATATAAAATTTGAAACTATATACTAAAGATTTTAAGATATAATATTTTTTAAATGTAACTTATTTTATAATCCGAATCATGATGGACAACAATATTATATCTAATATTTATTTCAAGTTTTGTTCAATTGTTACTTCTTCGTATTTCATTTTTTGTTGTTTTATTTTATCTTAAGCCGGCTAGTTTTTGGTTAAAAAGAAACATCATTCTGTTAAATGCTAATTGCTCTTTTAACTACAATTATGATAAAGACCTCTTTTTATAGGTTATGACTCATCCACCCAAAAACTGTTTTATCTTGTAACCATAATCTGTTACTTTTGAATGATCAGTTCGATGTTGTATATGTGCGCCCAAATAAAAATAAAAAATAAAAATAAAACATGATACTAGAACATCTTTTTTATAACCATAAAAGAGTTGTGGCATAGTGGTTAAAATCCTGAGAGATGTGGTGGAATATCTCATCTACTCGGGGTTCGATTTCAGACATACACAACAATTGTGGTCACTCAGTCTATTAGGACTGATTTCTTATAGTCACAATTTACCAGATTAGTTCAAGCATAGCCTGAGACACTCTTCCCAAAAAAAAAAAAAAAAAAAAAAAAAAAAAAAGCAGATAATTGGAGTTGTTCATGATCTTCTATCCAAGCCGTGATGTTTCCCTGGAAATAAAAGGGAAATATTTTTTTTTATAATTTACAATGGGACGATTGAAGTGGTTCATGACCTTCTATCCAATTTCCTATCGCTCGACCTTCTTTCCTCTGCCTCTCTCCGTCTTTGTTGCCTGCAATTCATCCAACATTAAAAACCAAACATGAGCATGCATCTTTATATTATCATGCTTTACATTCTTTTTAAGGATAAAAACACATCAAAGGTCCCTATTTACCATAACAAAGTTTCCAAACTTTATATTTCATACACCACTGATCTTTTAATATTTGATGGCGTGAATAGCAAGTTGTCGATCAATATATTTTTTCTCAATTGATATAACTGGATAACTTTACGTCGATGGCATCAAATGTTACAAGATCCATAGAATACTGGTCAAACGGTAACTAAAACAAACTTCATTGCATTTTGCCTTTTATAAAAGATGCCTAACTGAACGGCATACAAACAGAGATATAGCACATGAAGCCTAAGTTACGAATCAGAAATTAACGTAACCAGCAACCTCATATGCCTAAGAGCAACACTGTATTCAATAATTTGGTTTTATATCGAGAAAAAAGAATCATACAACCGATTTAGGGAAATGAAAACTATGAGAACATCCAAATACCGAAACACCCTTGCTAAAATATATCACAAGACCATAAAATCTTGACTAAATAGTTTATTTTGGGTTCATTTTTATCCTACCCTAACCAGTTTGTGATAAAAGGCTGGTTCTTATTAACACACCTGAATCCCAACCACTAAAAGATGCAACTAATAACATCAGCTTCAACCCTATATAACATTAAGTAAACCCAACTTCTAACAAAATAAACTAAGCTTCCCCTAAATTGGTGACGAGTAATATATGTGTGCGTGTGTATTTAGACATATTTCTTTATCACCAGAGAAACCAAGCAGCGTTAAGTATGTACATGGAGGCATATCCAACCCAAGCAAGAAAGGCAAATCAAGTTTAGCAAGGTTGGTAAATGTTAACACAACCGGTACGGCCTAGGGTTTGCTCTGCAGTTCGAGTCCCCTCAGGGTGACCTGGAGGTTTGTCTGGCTGACAACTTGAAGGACTCATAGGATTTTAGTCGAGGTGTGCACAAGCTGGCTTAGAAACCCACGATTATGAGAAAAGAGGTGGATAAACGCACTCATGTTCAACACACTTGACTACAAACCAAGAAACTGCATGCAAGCTTGTTCAGAAAATGCAGACACCAATTTAAGTGAAGCCTGGCCAGGCCCCATTTGGTGGGCCTGCAGGTGGCTTGTTTGTTCCAAAAGTACTTACTATTCAGCATCCCTCACATGCTGTTCCAATTTTCATGTGAGGCTAGATTAGATGAAATGAGGATAAGAAAGAAAACAATGATAAGGACTGACCAGAACAAAAAGATCCTAACAGAAATTGGAATCAGTTGAGAAAGATTTGTATACTAATTTGCATAAGGAAATGGGAATGAACGGATAGGAGACTGATATTTATTTAAAAGTGTAAAAGCAGACTCACGCAAAAGCTGTGTACCCAGTCCCAGCATTAGCAGCAGATAAAAGGGCGGCTGCATGTGACCCAGAGTCCTGCCCACTGGTGGTCAGTGGATGTCTTCTGTCCCCATCAACCTGAGAAAATGATAATAATAATATGTAAACACATTAGCTTAGTGGATCATCTACAATAATTTGCAACTCATAAAAAGAAATCAAACATGCAAAGTGATACCTTATCCCACTTGGATTTCTTATTTGGCCTGCCCTCCCGGGTCCCAGTATCAACAGCAGCTGAAACTGAACTTGATCCACCACCAGCTATCGGCAGCACAGCGGCAAACACAATAAAGTTATGAATTTCAAATCCGCTAGACGGAGAAAGGGAAGTTGAGAAAGCTTAATGGAAAAAAAATATGGAGAGCCAAATCAAATCTATAGCTTCCTGTGTATACCTGGAATCGCCACGATTTTTGGCATCGGGATAGCTGCAGCAGATTGTGTTCCACCAGAAAGAAAATCAATCTTTTGGTTTTTCTTTTTATCTTGCTCTTTCCTCTCCAATTCCCTCTTCAGATCAGCCTCTGTAAAATGTATCAAGAAGTAACATATAAATAATACAGATAGATATCAACACGTAGAAAAGTATCTTAAAAGAAGCTTCCAGAACAAGTTATTTAACAAAATTCTCAATAGGTTCCAGGACACAAAAATCAAGCACAGGAAAGAAAAAGAAGGGATAAAAGAAAAGGCAAAAAGAATAGAGAGAGACCTATCTCATCATAGTAATCACTTTTGTCATAACCATGGGGGTCAAAAACATCTTTACTGAAGCAAGATCCTATCTGATCGATGTCCTGGTAAGTCACAGCATGTAGCAAGAAGTCTGGGTTGCGATATTCTTTCCTATTGCGCACTTCCGAATTAAAGCTTCTCCCAGTTTTCATCTTCAGCCTCATAAACTTGACAATCTTTTCCTGCACCCGCTCCTTTAACAATTTAAAAACCCGCTATGCATTCCATTTAACAGGAAAAAGAAAAGCTAAAAAGTAATTGGTATCTAAGTCCAAAGCCATGAAGAAAAACGACAAAGAAATATTAGATAAAAGATGAGCTATATTTGCGTGGTAAGAGTTGGGTAGCAAACCACAACTGATGGTCAGAGTGAACTGGTTATACCCTAGGTCCAAGAGTTAGATATGGTAGGTTATGGTACAAGTGACCATAGCATTAGTACAACTAGTTGAAGCATGGGATCTAAGTCGGTGAGTAGTTTTTAGTATAAATAGAGGGTATTAGGGGTGGCGATAGTTATCGATTAGTTTTGTGGTTGTTTTAGGCTTAGGCCTGTGGGAGAGAGCTCGGCCTATCGAAAGCCGAGAATGTTCTGTAATCACTTGTTTTCTTTTGTGTTCAATTGATTCATTAGATTTCAGTAGCAATTTCGTATTTAATTGATACAGTTTGTATCAGAACTTTGGATCTTGTGGATGAAATGATGGAACCATAAACAACCAGCAAACTAAATTACTCAAATATCCTTTCTAGAAGAACCCAGAAAAAAAACACCAATAATTTAAAAAATGCCAACTCGACTTCCTGAAAAACCAGCTTTTCTTGAACAAAAAGAGTTGAGAAAGGTTAAAAGACACGTGAAGAGAAGGGTTAATACAAAAGCACAATCATCTCTACATACCATACATACACAATAGTCTAATTAATCTTAAAGAGATGATATATCAGGCTGTGCTGTTACAGCGGTCAAAATCTGAAATAGCGGTCAGGATTGTGATTTTATATAGCGGTTATCGCGATGGTATAGTGGTCCACAAACAGCGGTTTATGTAATAATTGCAATTATATATAAATGTATGAATGTATACGTAACATGATATATATTTTGAAGATGAACAGAAGAACACGTGAATAGAAGAAATGAAGAGCAATCTATGTTGGAAGACAATGTTGTTGTGAAGAGAAGACGTATAATAGTAGACAGGAATAGAAGAGATGAGAGAGGAATATCGAGTTTACACACCAATATTGCAAATCAAAATCAGCCCCCTGGCTCGTAATCCCCTAACCAACTTCTCTAAACCCTTTAAAAGGCCAACTGAAAGCCCAACTCCGAATTGTGGTTTCCACACAGCTATTGTAAATCAAAATTGCGGCCCAATTACGGTGATTAGTGCTGCTATTAGCGAAACCGCTATTTCCCCTAAGACCGCTAACCGCTATAGCACCACAATTAACCAGCATAGATATCAGGTTATGTTGTCAATTCAAAATGTTACTTCGCTTATTTACTTTACAAACAAAAAGAATGGCATTACTAAAATACAATACAGTGTGGGGAGAATTATTGGGGTAAATATCCTATACTTCCGATAGCCACTTGATTTAACAACTTTGATCAGTAAACTTTAGAGAAGTATGGGCATATAAAAATACACTACTATACATACCTACATATATTAGAGGAACTTACTTGCAGTTCATCAGAGCACTTTGTCGTTGGTGGTGGGGGAAGAAACTTGTCTAAAGGATCCATCTCCTTCTGTCCATCTTCAGTCATATTTACAGCTTCTTCAGGCACTGCAGATTCTGATTCGTTTCCCTTATAGTTCATTGCATCAGACTGTGATTGTTCAACAAGTTCAGATGATTGAGGAGGAGTTGATTGTGTGCTTGGTGTTAATAGCTGTACTGTCCCTGGCGGTGTTCCTACACGTGATGAATATTTCAAACACAGAATTTTTCATCTTCATCAACTTGGTCACCCAGTCCAAAGTGAACAACAAATCTATCCATGACAAAGAAATAAAACGATAGGATTTAATAGCTCCTAAATGTGAAGTGTAACTGTCTAAGAATTATCATTGTAATTGTACAGAAATACAACTCGCCAACTTTAGTAATAAATATTCAAAACAAAACTTGCCCAATCGCATGGTTTGATAGAGTGTGGGGAACCAAACTGAACGAACCCAATATATCCCACCAGTAGTTGGGGTCCGAGGAGGTGGGACCGTGGGATGTATGCAAACCTAAACTCTACCCAACGATAGAGTAAGTGGGTGTAACTACCAATTCAAAGGGAACAGTTTGGAACTGAGTTTTTTCACTACAGAGAAAAGGAACTTATTTTAAATCAAGCACCAACGAAGATGTTGAGGAACTTAATGAAGAACCTATATTGGTCAAGACCAATATGATAGGATAGCATAAGAATGCTGTAAGATAAGTGTCATACGATTAGGGGCAAGAAGTAGACAACTCTCTACAGGTGCAAAAAATACGGTATGCAAGCATAGGATGAAATAGTTCTCATTGTGATTTCCAGTAGGAGATACTTAGTTTAACACATACCCCCAAACAGTGAGTTGAAGTATCCTGCCTCATTAGTTAAGTGTCATCCATTGTAAAATATTCTTTCACCTATTGCCCACCAAGCTGACAAGCACATTGCCATCTGGATATCTTGAGCAAAGAAAATGGCTTTATTATTGCTAAAAAGAAGCTTTACCTTAGCCCAAAATTTCCTCAGTTGTAGTTGTTTACGAAATCAAATTCACATTACCGCTGTGAAAGCACAAGCACATGCATGAGGCCATTGAGGAGGGCCTTTTGGGGCCTCACCTTAATTGAAGCCCATGGTCTTTTACAAAATATGAGTAATTGACATCCTTACCATTTACTATCTAAATGCATATCAAGCTGATCCACCATCCACTATTGCTGCCTATTTCAATCAGTATTTGCTGATTGGCAACAAAACATGAAAGGCACACAGCACGTCTGGATCCATGAGAAAGAAGGGCATGTGACACACCTTATGTATTGGAAAATCAGATAGCAAAGACTATAACTCCTTGCAAAATTTACAACTCTTAGATCTTGGAATACTACAATATTTTAGAAATAATAACTTTGTTACACGCTATTAGTAATTGCAAATCCATTGACCCCATCTACTTATTATTATAATATAAATATATGGCAGTACACCACCATGTGATGATCTAATTGATCCATAACCAAGGGGGAAGGCAAGCACCTCCATCAGTATTAATGCAATGAAAAGACGAATCGGTGGCCAATAGCTTAACAGACTCTCGATTATCAGCTCTCAGCTAGTAATTTGATAACCAAAGAGTATCATCACGTATTGAGGCAAAAACATATTATAAATCATGTATCTCACTATTATCATTCTTATTACCACCAAATATCACTATCATGTAATTCTTAGGGAAGCTACTGGTGCTAGTTGTATTTAACCAGCTATATGCATTACCAAGTTTCCATCCCAAAGATGTAAGTACTCGTGACAGCTAAGAAACTGGTAGAAACATCCCAAGGGTAATTACAACGATGCACCTTAAGTCAAATTTACAGTCAAAGTTCCCATGATTCTACGCAACACTCTGTACTCCATTATGAGCCTACACTAGGACAATGTATTATTATACTTTTTGAAGTTGGTAGAATAATAGTGTGGTATGTTGGCCCCTATTACAGCAGACAGTAAACTACAGAAAGGTATGACAGTATATTAACTGCAAAATTACAAGGTGTATGTACCATTTACAGTTTGAAGCTCTGCACCAAACGTTACACGACCAGTTGCTACTATTTCCCCTTCCTGCACCAAAAATCAACTTCCAATTAATATAAACCGGAATAACAAACAAGACATTCGAAGAAACAAAGCACTGCAATTCTATTCATAAATACAGACTTCTCAAGTTAAGGGTTTCCCTAGTTTCATGGCAAGGTCATGTTTGTTATACAATCCAACAGCTAGCCTGAACAGAATATGCAACCCGCAGTGAAGTAAAAAAAACAATAAAAATGTTGACAGTTACATCTATTTTATGCAGTTAACCATGCCGCTGGTATTGCAGCTCGCAGCCCTCAGCCAAATCATGATGGAGATTGATGCACTGCTAATAGGCACTAATTGCCAAATTTTCTAGATAACAAAGCTATGTTAAAACTGCAATTCAATGGGCTTTCTGATTTTAGTTGGGCTAAAAGTGCTGGGCTTTTTAGTAATGTTACAATTTAGGGAGTCGATTGAACTCATCGTTTCATCCGATTGTTTGACTCACATATTCCTCAAGCCTCATCGAACTTGTTCTTCATCGTCTTCTTCAATTCTTTGCTTCAACATCGACCATAACGAGAAATCACATAAGGTTCATCCATTCGTCATCTTCCTAGACCCCCGTTCAGAAAGAGAAACTGCAGAACAACAGCTTCTTTGTACTCCATCGTCTTCATAGTTCATCTAGACTTCTGTACTTTTTTATGGAACACGGATCTACTTTTCCTCCCGGTAAATTATGTGATCAACAACTTCCCCATTCCTTTATGTTATTTACATCAAAATAATATGGTCATACATGTAAATGATCTAAAAATATTATATTTTACATATTAACATGACATGGAGTTAGATTTATATTACATATACAATATTTTATATGTTAAAATGATAAAGAAGCTTATGTATAATTCTATTTATTATATGAACTGTTTTTTGTCCAGTATACCACCTCTTTATGATGCAACTTTAGACCAAAGTGTTTCTAAGCCCACTACTTGGAAAGTCTACACTAGACGGCCCAAGGCCCATAAAGGGAATTAGTAAGTTCTTGTTATAAAATAAGGTCGTGTGAGAGAGGGGGGAGGCATGCAGAATAACAACCTTTTTGTTAGGATCATAGCTCTTGGCTGTGAGGAGGGAATTACTTCCCTGGGATACTTCTGTGGATTGTATTTCTTCTCCCTTTCTTTCATTTGTAACCATTTTAGCCTTTCATATTAATCAAAGTAAGACGTAATCACTCCGATTACGTATCATTGGTCCGACCTACTGGATCCGATGGAGACTCGTCTTCATGGCCGATTGGAGAATCACGAAGAACGTATTCAACAGCTGCAAGCAGATGTTCAGGGAATAAAAATGTCCCTGGAAACTATGAAGGAAGATCAGACCGAACAAAAGGAATTTCGGGCATATATGTTGAGTTGGGTGAAACAGCAGCAGGGTAAGCATCACGAAGCAGGAGGATCCTCGTGGATGGATCGCTAAGGCTGAGTTATACTTTGAAATTCATGAGACTCCCAACAATCTTCGGACGCGACTGTTTAATAAAAATCCATTGTGATAACCTCTATATCAAATCACAGTCCTCACCGCTACTTTAAACTTTGACCACTATAACTGCTTAACGTCTATTTAATATGAGATACGTGCTCCAACTAAACCAAACCAAACAAACCCAGTAAATCCCACACAGAGGTAAGAAATGAGACACTTGCTCCAACTAATAAGTCAAAACTCTACATGTCAAGTCTAGGAAGTTCGCTCATTCCTTAGCCAAGGTTATAGACATGTACAATCTTTTCATGTCTTTATTCATCAATTATTTCAATAAGAAACTTATCTCATGGTCGTCACGTTTGAGAACCTGTAGATTTTGAGCAAAAATGTATCAAGGGCAATTTTTTAATGAAGTTAGGAGTGCTACCTGAACTATTAAGAATTGAACAATAGAGTATTTTGGAAAAACCAAACATATGCATATGAGTATGTGTTTTTACACTAGAAGTCGACAAGCTCAACAAGGAAACAGAAGATGGAAGAAGATAAGTAGTTGTGTTGTCTTTTGCAAGAAAATAAAAGGGAATAAGACAAGCTGCCAAAGTTAGAGCACCGGTCAAGCAGTCTGGTACGATGGAAAGTTGGGTTACCAAATTCAAACTCAAATAAAAGAGAAGACTAGATAAAGTAACGAAGAAATGTGTAGCCATAGTCTAGCGAGGATGAAAATCCCTCGAAACAGCTAGTAATTCTACAGTATCTAGAGATTTGGATGATTTGGTCTTTCAGATGTGTAGTTGTTTGTATATGTAAGTATGCACCGCTGTAGTTACTTCTAACAAAGTCAATCACTTCATATAACTATATAAGGAAGCTGAAAATGTAGCGACCAGCTGGACAGAGTTCAAGAAAAGATAAAAAAAAGGTCAATATATGTCCAGAAAAGAGGTTGACCATAGCAGCCTGAGGAGTTGATATGGAGTATTCAGAGAGGGCATTAGCAAAAATGGATGAAATAGAACAAGCCAAAAACAAAGACCAAAAAATTCCTTAAGCCTAACAAGAATATCATAAAAGAAGACAGGTTGTAAGAGGTCAACCAGGAAGGAAAAAGTATGTTTTATCATCAGAATGGTATCCTAACTGAAACAACCTCAATTGAGTGTGTTAAGATGCAAGGAGGGAGTAGCAGCCCCTCCCCCCTCCCATTTTGATGGAATAGCTTTTAGTACAAATTCAATTAACTATTATCCTTGAGTTATCGTTTGAAAACCTAGTAGAATCAGAGATAGAAAGATATGTTCAGTTATTGCACAATCTAAAGAGTGGACATATCGATTTTTGAATCAAGACTATGCATCCATCCTTAGTTTCACCTACTTGTCATGTCTAGACTACAGTAAGTTCCTATTCATTTTGGCTTTGACTCTTTATGTTCATCTTGCTTAGTTAGCTCAACTGATTGAAAGTTTATTCACGACTGCTTGGTCCATAAAATCTTGAATGACTTGTTATGGTCTGGTAACTCTCATGATAATATTGAGTTAAAATTTGTTGAGAACGGTAAATATTTGTTCTTATTATATCTCTTTGGCATGCGCATAATGAAAATTGATACATGGCACAAACAGAGAACTATTGATATACCATGACACATGAGAGTCCTATATAAGTACAAGGTGAAGCCTTTTGAGACGGAAAACGGGCACAACACTCCTACATGTAAGATGAAGCCTTTTGAGATGGCAACAAAGAACCTTTTGAGTGATTGTTCTCAGCTAAAAGTAGTTACTGTTGATCCGCAAGGACAAGTATGATCTATAACGAGAGCGAATTGATTTATATTCATGCTTCTTTGTGCTTGGGTATGAACTAAATAGTGATATGTGTACCTTATTGTTCTTATGACACATTGTCATTTTTAGTGGCTATTTCGTTAGTGTAATAATAATTCTGTTGATATCATTATTTACAAACCACTCTTGCATAAAAATTTCTATCCTGACTATAGTTGTTTGTTAAGCGTTGTGACTCACCCCTAACATGGTTCCCAAACAAATAGAGAACTGCTGGTGTGAGAGAATGCAACTTTTTGTGTACTTGTAATGAATGTTAAGATTATAATTCAAAATGTACTGTTACTTAACATAACATGCAATTTATGGTTGGTTGAGACTCCACCCAACTTCCATGTTGGTTGATGATTGAGATCAGGGGTTCGAAAATGAAGGGTGTCAATGTTTCAAATCACACCCTTACCAAATATTTTTTATAAATGTTCCATAAAAAAATTAACTTAAATGCTATTTACCAGATTATACAGAATCAAAAACCCATATACACAAACAGACGAAAGAAATAAAGAATGAACATTACCTCTGCTTCAGGAGACAACGCTGCCTCATCATGCCCATAATCGACAATCGTTAGAGTCCCCTTCATACCTCTGCTAGGCTCCACACCAATCACTTGCTGAGCTAATGGAGGCGGTGGTGTTGAATTATCAATAGAAACTGGTGTTGTATTATCATTAGCAGAATCCAATATAACAACTGGATCAACATTGCTTCCATAGTTATAACTAATATTGTTGCTATTATTAAGGGCCTCAGCATCATCTTCTTCCATATTCACAGTTTCGGTCGCACCAACTTCGCTCTGTTCCTTGTTCTCTTGTGGAACAGCGTCGTTATCACTGTTGTTGTCATCAGTATCTATATCTTCTTCCATATCGTCGTCTTCGTCGCCATACATAGAGAGAAGGGCGATGCCTTCCGATTCCTTCTTCTTAGACGCCATGGAAAGATTTCAACACGGGTCCTGGCAGATTAGAAATCAATAAGACAATAATCAAGTAACAACTAAACTAACAAGTGTGAAGTAACATATTACAAATCAAATGAAAAAACAAGACAATAAGAAAAATTTGCAATTTAGGGCATATCAATACTGAAATCAAATCAAAATTAAGGCAAATGAATTAACCAAGTAAGTGAAATTGGTATCAATTCCGAGTTAGGGTTTCGGGTTCCAAACCTGAGACTGAGGAGTTAAGACTTAGAGAGAGAGAGAGAGAGAGAGAGAGAAGCAGCGAGAGCGATGTTCTGTTTCAGTGGTGAAGGCAGGCCAGTGGCAGACCCAGGATTTTTTGCCGAGCGGGTGCACCTTTAAATTGGATCAAATTCCTGCAAAGCCGATCAATGTGTTTTTTGTTGAATTCTGCTGTTTCGACGGAATTTTAAAGTTTTTTGGTTGATTTCGAGGGACTTTCAGTTGATTTGGTAAAATTTCTCAACTTTTAGAATTTGATTCTCGTTTTCCTTTGCTTTTTTTCTAGGTTTCTAATTTTGTTTCCTTATCATCTAGGAATTTAGTACTAAATAGGATGTTTTGCAAATTAAAGCGAACCAACCAAATTAAAAGAACCCTAAATTGATTAAACAAATTAAAACAACTAAGGCTGAGAAAATTAAAAAGAAGCTAAGAAAATTAACATCAAATTAACAACAGATACAAGGCAAATCAAGAATTTCGAGCAAATCTAAGTTAGGGGCGTAGGGCAATGGATATAGGCAACAAATAAACAACTAAATAATCAAACAATTTGAAATAATTAGTAAGGAAAATGAAGCAAGAAAAAAACTGAATCATATTTAGGTCAAAACACTAATATCAAATTCAGGGCAAATATATAGTAGGTCAATAGTTAATACTCAAATGTAAAAACTCAAAACAAACAGATAAATCATATAAACATAATTGTATAGCATTATAACTAATCAATTTAGGCAAATGACTAATATCAAATTTAGGGCACATGTATAAATTTGAGTTAGGTTTTGGGGCAAAACCTGAATGAGAGATTGAGAGAGTGACTGGGTGAGTGAGAGCCTGAGAGAACTGGCCGGATCCGGCGGACGGCGGTAAGGGGCGGCTGGACGCTAGGCGATGGCAGAGGGTGAAGCCGTGAGGGGGCAGGGCTTGGCGCTGGAGTGCTGTTTTTGTTTAAAAACAGTTACAGTTTGGACAGGGGTTGAGGCCGTGACGGGGATGAAGGGCAGGGCTCGGCGCTGGGGTGCTGTTTGTTTTAAGGGGGTGTTTGGGATTGCTTATTTAAAACAACTTATGCTTTTTTGTAAAAGTGCTTATTAACTTATGAGGTATCAAACTGGAGTTTTGTAAAAAGTGTTTGGATTAGCTTATAGCGGTAC